AAACAAAAATAATCAATAATTCCAAAATCAACAATTACTGAAATTTATGTAAAGATCCAGTGACTAATGAAACGTAATCATGCAACGAAATAACTCGATGGACAGATGCTAATTACTCGTAAACATAAAATTAACTAATTTTGCAAGTGGAATGATCATTTTACATGAGTTTTAATATGAAAGACAGTGTTATATTATTCGGGGAAAAATTTTGGAAAAAAATGGAAAATTTCGATTAATTGTTTCGATCAAATAGCCATTTGCAGGTGTCAGTTCAAATAGCCAATTGGAAAACAAAAATAATCAATAATTCCAAAATCAACAATTACTGAAATTTATGTAAAGATCCAGTGACTAATGAAACGTAATCATGCAACGAAATAACTCGATGGACAGATGCTAATTACTCGTAAACATAAAATTAACTAATTTTGCAAGTGGAATGATCATTTTACATGAGTTTTAATATGAAAGACAGTGTTATATTATTCGGGGAAAAATTTTGGAAAAAAATGGAAAATTTCGATTAATTGTTTCGATCAAATAGCCATTTGCAGGTGTCAGTTCAAATAGCCAATTGGAAAACAAAAATAATCAATAATTCCAAAATCAACAATTACTGAAATTTATGTAAAGATCCAGTGACTAATGAAACGTAATCATGCAACGAAATAACTCGATGGACAGATGCTAATTACTCGTAAACATAAAATTAACTAATTTTGCAAGTGGAATGATCATTTTACATGAGTTTTAATATGAAAGACAGTGTTATATTATTCGAGGAAAAAATTTTGGAAGAAAATGGAAAATTTCGATCAATTGTTTCGTTCAAATAGCTATTTGCAGGTGTCAGTTCAAATAGCCAATTGGAAAACAAAAATAATCAACAATTCCAAAATCAACACTTACTGAAATTCATGTAAAGATCGATTAATTGTTTCGTTCAAATAGCGTATGGAAAGTTTTGAGAACACAAAAAAATAATTAAAAAATATACTGGTGAGAATAAATGTTTTACAATCTCAGTCGGCGACTGTTTTAAAAATTATTTGATGCAACTATTCTTTATTGCAAAATTAATTATGTGATATTAATGTACTATTTTATTCTCTTTCATATAAGTGATTCATTTTATTGTATAAAATGTGCAAATAATTTTTTATAAACCATTATAAGGTCTATCCCGATTGGCTCATTTACTCCATGTGCAATCACTTTTTAATGAACGAGGCAAAACAAATTGATCCTCAGAAAGTTTAATTTACTCAACAAATCCGTACCAACGTTTCTCATTGTGTTACTATTTATTCCTGTACCACATTAGCCACATATCTCTTATTGCAATCAAGCAATGCTCAATCTCAAGCAATGCTTGATATTGCTTTATAATTTTAAATACCCATTTTGTATTTAATAATTTAATTTTATACAACGACAAGGAAAAGCTTATTGTAAAATTTACTCTAAAAGAATGCAAAATAATTTCATCGTTAGTTCAAAAGCTTAAAATACTTAACAAAATAAAATATTTGGTACTGTGTTACTATTTATTATTGTACCACATTAGACTCACATTATTAGTCTTATCAGTAAGAAATGCTCGCTATTGTTTTGTAGTTTTTAATACTCATTTTGTATCGATTACTTTAATTTAATACCATCACGGGATAATGCTAGCCTTAAAAATTCGTTTTTTGTAATTAATTTATTTCTGGTGCTTCTTAAGCGTCATCTTTGGCAGTAATTGGTAAAATAATAATAGAAATATCAATTATAAAAGTCTCTTACATAATTCAGGAGATATGAAATAAGGCACAACTCCGCCCGGCCATCTCTGCGAATCACGGGGTATAGCATTTCGATCCTTAAAGAAATAAAAAATAAACAGGAATGGTAGAAAATAGCAAATTATTATACAAATATTTCAATTCGATATATTTATGACATTGGAGTAAAACAAAATCCCCCCAATTGTATATAAGTATTATGATATAAAGTATATGATATATCATATATACAACCAATATGATATAAAGAATTATATAAAGTTTTGATAAAAGTATGATATAAAGAAAAATAACGTACTAGTTTAAAAGATCTTACTGTAATCATAATTTCATTTATGATTTTAAAGCTCATATTTTTATTATATTGTTTGACTTCCTGTTTACACTATCTAGCTTTTAAATATTAATTCATAAATAGTTAAAGCAATAATACAACATTTAAGAAATACCGGATCAAATTCCAATAAAAAGTAATGGCACCTTGAGTGAAACGTCCGCAAAATTCATTTTTAATGCAAAATTTTATGCCGCAGTTTTAAGAATAATAATTATTTAATTACAGTGAATCAGTGACTTTACAATAAATATTACAACACTCAAAAATTACGGTCTATCAGAATTTTTGTACTGAACGGTAAAAATGGATTTTACGTTAAAAAGTTACGGTCCCCTGACTTCCAATACCTTTTACAGTAATTTTGTCTAGAAATTTTTACAATATAGTTTTTTAATCAAAAAAGGAAAATTTCAGTTTAGAATGGCTTATATAGCGTGTTTTATAGTTTTGCCCTTCATGTCCTAAATACAGGGTCTTCTACAATTACTACTCCTAATACATAATTTCACAAACCTCGTCAAAAATGAAGATATAGAAATTCAACACATAAAGTGCGAAATTAAAACTTAACCGTAAAAAAAATAATGACGCCTCTGAAATCTAAAAAAAAGTAGCCATAGGACTAGTGTGCATAAAATATCAAAACCTGAGTTATTGCAAGAGGAGCTGGAAGACGATTGTTAAAATTTTGTCCAAGTTTCAACCACCCATTTATTGTCTGATTTGTTTTACTTTTTATGAGTGATTAAGCATTAGTCACTTATGTTTCAAACTCTGACACAAAAACGTTAAATCAAACTAAAAGTGCAAACTCTATTAATGCTTTAAAAAGAAAGCTTAAAAAAGGTCTTTTTTTTTCTTTTGAAAGAACAGTGTTAGATTAAACTGATTTGAAAAAATAAATAAATGTAAAAAAAGCTAAATATGTACAAGTTTCAGAAAAATCCGGGATTTTTTTGTGTTTTTTACTGAAAATTCTATTGTCATAAGATGCATTTAAAGCAACCATACTATCTTCGGCAATGAGCAGGCTGATGACATAACCAAAGAAACCCTCAACTCTCCAATAGCCCAACCGGACGCTGATGCGATAGTCAGACGTAAACTTGCCTCCTAACCAACTAAGAAGAATTCTATCCTAGAGCTTGAGTGCAACCGGGTAATACCAACTACCATAGGACTATGCACAAGACACTTTAAAGGAATGAAAATATCTCCTGATGGGCAAAGAAGTTACAATACTTGTCCTGAAATCCAACTTTCTCCAGGTCATATTTTAAACTGCCCTTCTACACTGACTAAACACCACAATATCGACCCAAACCTCGCAGACAATCAACACTGTCAGCTGCTCCTTTCGCCAAGGGTCTTTGACATTGCCAGGGCTGTTTTGGACGCCTTCGGTGGTATTTGATTCCTCTGCATTACTTGGATAAGACAACAATAATAAAAAAAACATACATACCGCAATACAGACTCAAAGCCACGACTCTCCTACCACGGAGTTGGAGATTTAAAAAAAATTGTTGGTATAAAATAACATTAATACAAGTATGCAGTCAATCATAATATTATAGGAGCATTAACTATAGTTATAACTGGGATTATTAAACTGAAGCTGATGTTTGAGATTATTAAACTTAAAGCTTACTCCTAATGGAGCGCAGTTGGCTAATTACTGTAACACACTCAATCAAAATTAAAAGAAGATATACTTGAGTTTTGTCTCAAGTGACGTTTTGTTTCAAGTATCGTCTAGTCTCAAATTTCATGCATAGTACGGCTTTGAGGATAACTCCTCCAGACTGAAAGTCTGGGGCTGTCTGCTGCTATGGTAAGAAGCGAGAGCACTTTTCTAATGGGGGTGAAATGGGGGAAAGAAGGTGTTAAGTTTACTCATGACGACCTACGCTAAAATTAAGACAAAACTATTCACTCCACACCCCTATTCGAAGTGACATTTCCGCGTAACCATAGTATCCGCCACGACACGAAACGGGTGTCTGGAGTTCTCTTGAAAGCCGCACTATAGTTCCAAGTGTCATTTTGTGGTAAAGCTGAATTTGAGTTTTTGTAAGTGCACTCTATGGTCGTGTTATTCAACGGATTTTTGCGGACAAAATTTAAATAGTCAAAGCTTGAGAGTCTTAAAGCAAGGTTTTGATTTCAAACCATATGACAGAAACTATAACACAGAAAAAATAACTAACAGCTTATACGTAAAAGTGCTAAATTATTTCAATAAAATTTTTTAAGCCATATGACAGAAACTATAACACAGAAAAAATGACTAACAACAAACAGCTTATACGTAAAAGTGCTAAATTATTTCAACGAAAATCAACAATAATTTTAGGTTTTTATAACTAGATAAAAATCAATAAAATTTAGTAAATAATTCTCGATATTTGCTACTTTTTTTAACCAAAAATGCAGTGGTAGCGATACTTTTCAAAACTTAAAAAGATTTGTCACAAAAGCTTTTCATTTTCACAAAATTTTGGTTTTTCTAGATTTTTTTTTTTTTTTTTTTTTGTCATTTTCATAATGAGCTTAGAAGCTTTTCATAATGACTGAAGATGGACAAAGCATGAAAATCAATAATAATTGCTCGAAACTCGAACAACTGAAAAAAAATGGCATATTATTTGCTAGAAATGGTTATATTTTTATCTCGTTAGATTTTCGAAGAACTACCATATGTGATGAGTTAAAAGGAGGAGACCAGACACATATTTTTAAAAACTTTTAAGCTGGTAACAACGTCACAATCAAAAATCAATTTAATTAATTTAATTATTTTAATCAATTTTATTAATTTAATTAATTTAATTTAGTAACTATGAAAAGTAAAGTCACATTTTCAAACAATATTCTTCTAATATTATCACTAATGTATCATAACAAAAAATAGGGTAATTATGATAAGTCCAACACTTATCAAAAATATGCTTACCTCATCAACTTCTACTCCCAACATATCTCCCTCAAACATCCCCTCATTGATCATAGGGTCATGATGGACTAAATAAAAATGAGACGTTAGAATTATGGAAAACTTTAAGTTTTAATACACATGGTTGCCTATGAGCGCCACCTTTATAAAAGCATATAGTAAGAATTTTTGTAATAAGTCAAGTAAAAATTATTCCCAATTAAGGTCAACCATTATTATTTAATCATTTAAGAGCAAAAACAATCAATGACGCAATTAGAGAGAAAGCAGAGCACTTAAAAAAATGTGAGGTCAAAAATACCAGAATATGAATAATTTATTTTTCAATTTTGTATTTTTCATAAATGCATGATAATAAGAACTACAATACTAAAAACCAGATTTTTCGGTAAGCCGTTACCATATGAACGATAAGTCTAATGAATGGTTTAAATACCGGACATTTTGGTTTTATTAACCAGAATAATGTTTTTTTTTTTTTTTACCAGATATGTCATCATCATGTACTTATTAATAAATGTATAAATGTTTGTAATGCAAATCTTCTTTCAATTTTCAAATTTCAATTTTGTTATTTTTGCCTTTCATTTTTCTCCATTTATTTAAGTACATTTTTAATCAAACCTTTATAAATTAAATGCGTATCACTTGAATAAATAGAAAAATATGCTGATATTTACATTTAAAATTTTATTATTGAATTGATGAAAGATAAAAGTACCACCACATAAGGTGCTGGTACTTATTACTTTAAAATCGGTATTTATCGGAGCATGTTACGGAACAAAAAATCTAACATACTGTAATTTTCACAGTAATAATTTTCATAAAATAACGCATTTATTCGAATTAAATAACTATTACTGTGAAAATTACGATATAAAATTTTAAGATAAAAAAGGATTTTACGGATGCTGCACGCGGGTTGCCAGTGCTTTTATCGTAACTTCACTCGAAAATTTTTACAGTGTAAAACAAAACAACCACTTTAATTACAAATATATTCTATCAAAATTCTTTAAATAGGCTACAAGTTTCTATGCAAATTCGTCTCCACTCTCCAGTGCACAATACAGTACAGAAAAAAAGTCGGCGCTGGCTTTTTTCTGTATTCTACTTTTTCTGCATTCGGCTATAACTGATTCTGTAAAATTTAAATAATTATGTCAAACTTCATTTGAAAAGCATTCCATATTATTGAATATTTGTCACTAAATTCACTTTAAAAAAAAATTCAGATCATTTTATGATAAAATATACCAGTACTGAGGTACTCTAGATGCTGGTACTTTTTACCTTAAAATCCATTGTTTTTAGAACATGTTGCGGAGTAAAAAATCTGATGTACTGTAATTTTGCTAGTAATAATTTCCGTAAAATCAGTGAATCACTTGAATGAATTAACTATTGTAAAAATTACGATACAAAATTTTATGTTAAAGAAAGGATTTTACGGTAAAATAGGTTATACAGATGATGCACCCAAAGGGCCGTTACTTTATGCTGTAATATGATCCAAATTTTTGACAGTGTATAATAATACACATTAAGGGTTTTATGCTAGTGTCCTATAAACATGAAGGGTCGTTTGCTGCGCTAAATGATAATTAAAGAAGAATAGCAGTACATATATAATATTTTGATTTACCTTCGGTAGTCCAAGCCAATGAGAAAAGAGATAGAAAAATAATAATTTTCATATTCGATTCCAGAAAAAATAGTATGGCTATTAGACGAACGTTTAACTTTTACTTATAGAATACTTTTATCACGAAATATTATCAAAAAAAGATTAAAAGTGAATTGGTGGGATCGTTAAAGCTGTCAAGATCAAAGATCCTGCGTATTTTAATAGATTAAAAACACCGTACCATATATTGATGAAACTACACCAAATGTACGTACAACTACACTAAACGAGAATGTAGTGCTAGTTTCAGCTAATTAATACAATTTATATTTGATTTAACATTAAATAGAAGAATTGAAATAAAATATTTTTACCGAGAAAAAAGAAAACTCCTTATAAAATAAAATATTTTCTCGTTTTGCTGATAAAAATAGATTCAATGAAAGAATTATTGTTTAACAAAATTTATAAAAATGCATGTTATTCAATATAAATATTCAATTATGAAGACTTCATACAAACTATGTTAACAAAAGTTATTTATAAAGTTAAACTTATTTATAAATTTATTTATAAATACCTGATTATTTATAAATTTATAAAAATGCATACTTCTGAAGTATAGTAAGAGGAAATGGGCCTACCTGTTCTTTGTGGACAAATCAAACATGGTGAAAACTATGTTTCCTTTTTCGATTTTTGCAAGGAAATGAAAAAATTAAAGGAGAAAATAATTTGGCTGATAACAAACTATGGTTTGTTATAATTGTTACATTAAAATGTTCAATAATGAAGATTTCATTTAAACAGTGTCTTGGGATATTCATCCACTGTTAGATGCACCAGGATAATTTTTTTTAAAAACTTTTTTCCGCACATGCACTGTATAAAGCAACTACTCAATTACTCTTATCTGGCGCAGTTTTTATTATTATTTTTTTATTTTTAAAGCAATAATTTCGTTATCAGTTTAAAATTGATTCAAACGCTTTGTTTACTTTTATTTAAATATTTAAGCTATAGCAAAAGTGGCACTAGACCTAGTATATATTTCGGACATTTACCAAAGGTCTAGTCATACTAGGTCTGGTTAGGTGTCATTGCCCGGTATACCCTACACTGATGTTTTTTTAAAGTTCAGTGCCACTGCCCGGTATACATTTGCCCGGTATACAGTTAACCATGCATACTTAGTCATTACATATTTCCTAGATTTTCAATTTTCTTTATTTCATAAATGTAATCGTTTTCAATCCTTCAAAACTTTCTATAAATAAATAAATCAGTTAATTTATTTTTATTTAGTTTTATAAAGAGCGAACGCAAATATTACTATTCTCAATAAAGGTAACGTATAACTTTTATTTTCAATACAAATATAACTAATCATTATTCAATGTCACAACAGAGCATCAAAATCGATTTTTAACCTTTCTTTCTTCAAACTCATTAGATATACGCATAACATTATTACAGACGTATACGAACATTAGCATATACGTCATTAAGTTTACTTTAATTTCCACTGAACTTTTTTGGCCTTGAATCTTCAGCCAAGATGACTTAAAACTTAATATTTAAGAGCGAGCGGACCAGAAGTATGATGGTCAAAGAGCTGACCTCATCTCAGAAACGTCCTGGGTACGAGTCCCTGACAAGGCATGGATGTTTCCTTCCTTCTCTTCTTTGTGCTACCTGTCCTTCTTACTGCAGTCCACCTAATAGGGTGTCCCTGAAAAAGTGGTCACTAAATCTGCCCTTCTGATAACCGATTGATGAATGTCAATATGAGTGGGTATAAGGGGAAGAATTTAATATCGAGAGGTTGGCTTTATTTTTGGCTGTATTATTTTTCGCTAATTCGCCAAATTTTGGATCTCTTCCCATGCTCCTAAGCGTTGGTTAGCAAGAACGCATTCACTGTTAATTTGAAATTGTTGGGTGTTACTTGGGACTGAGAGGTTTTGGAAGTCTAGGACCCCTATCCTCAGTCCGACCATTAAAAGTGTTGAACAAATGGGTGCTTGAAAAAACTGTCTGATAATCTACTAACACAATTTGTTTGAAGTTATAAACGTGGCCGTGTTTGTTTAGTTTAAAACTTATGCCTAATAAAGAAAGACGACTTTATTTCTTTGATCTCAACAATTGTTGTTGTTCTCAACAATTTCTCTATTTTAGATTAGAGGCAATGTACAGAATTACACTATAATTATCCTCTATGATAATTACCTTCAAATTTATTTTTTATTTAAATCAGATCTATGATACGTATTCAAAGAAATAACACAGCGCAAAATTGTTAAAAAAAACTGAAAATTATTTCACTTTGGTATTTTATCGAATAATAATTGACCATAATAAGAGTGGAAAATTGAAAGCATTGAAATGATTATTATATTTCGATGATCATTATTCAATGGTTATTACAGAAATAATTATTGCACTTTGAAGTGTCATTATCATTTTTTTAAACAGTTCCATTTTATTTATCAAAGTCTATTACACAGTGGAAAAAATTTTATATAAAAAAAATATTTTGAATACTATTACACTCATAAAGTTATTTTCAAATACTATTTATTTTTTAAAAGAAGAGCGGACGAAAAATAAAACAAATTGAGGAAAAGAATATTGTAAATTATTATTCTTTTAAGAGTTACTTCCATTATTGTGCACATTTTTTTGTACCGAAAATCTATTTAAAAAGTGATTAATGAAGATAATTTTATCAGTTTTTAAGACTCATTATCTAAATTTTAAAGAGCACAAAATGCTCGTTCGTTCTTCATTATAGACGTCCTTTAAACATAATTATTCATTTTCTTAGACCGGGAAAGCCTGGTTTATAGGAAATTGGAATCTTGTTCGTGAGAAAGGGAGTTAGAATCCCATTGGCCGAATAAATCTTGTATGCTAAATGATGCTTGGTGCACGTTAAATCTGTCAGGGTCACAAAGTCCTCTAAGTAAGCATAACAAATCAACACCTTTGGGGGTACTGAATTGGAGATTGATCATTCCCTAAATCAAGTCAAAATTACGATCTGTGGATGAATGAATGTATGTACAAGTGGGTCTGCCCTGTGAAACGGGCCACGACGTGCGTATGGGTGTCTGAAATCGTATTTTTGGCAATAGATGACGCCACTGAAAAACACCAAATGCACTTTCTGCCATAAAATTTCCTTGGTTTCCCAAGTAATCTTGCTAGCATTGACAAGTAGCAATTGAAACAACAACATTCATTTTTATTTAATAAATGCTATAAAAATAAAAACTATAAAATCAAATGATGTTCGGGAAATTTTCAAAAAATTATGAGTTCACCAATTAATTATGGCTTAACTGAAAATTTTCTCATATATTTCTAATTTAATTCCTTGAAATTGACATGAAAAACAATTAGATAAATCTGGTGAATGACATTTTCTAGAAAACAAATAACCCAGTGTGAATTTGTGAATTTCAAAAATGATTGCGTACACTTTGTGTTATGTAGACTTAAAAAAAATGTGAATGTGACAGAAATGAAAATACAGAAACGGACAATGGGTATATGGGCAATGGGTATATGGACAATGGGTAATAAACAAAAACCATCCTCCGTGTCTTAACACGAATTGATAGTAGAAGTAAACAGTTGACCCTACTACCCTACTGTGATATTAATAGCTGGAATATTTATTAAATTTCTTGTCTATGGGGTCTTCCGTATATTGGACAAACTAAACTTATTCTCAAGCGTCTACCTAAAGATATGTCCAAAATCGGGACATTAACCTATTTTCTATCGCTCTCCATAGCTTGAATTCACGTTACCGGTTTGAGTTTTCTTCAACTTAAATCATTCAAAACTGCTCTTTATCTATCGAATTTAATTTCTGGGAATCATTCCATATTCTGAAAATTCTAATAATTTAGTTGGTGATCATTTTAGTATTCCACAGTTTCCAAATGTTTGGAGATCAATTCTGATCTAATCCTTTGCCCCTGGAGATTTCCGTCAAACCATCTCATATCTGTTTATTATGGCCCTTCTTTTATTATTTTGTTCAAACTTGCACCCATGTCTCTATGGGCTGAACTACTTTGCACGTGTTTATCTCTTTACTTCATTGCTAGTGTTTAGACACATAGGAATGTTCCTGTTTAAGGAACCGAAACTACAGTATGTCCATTTCGGTAATTTCCCTTGTGCTTCTTTTACGTTTTTTACTTGCTTTAGCCATAGTAAATTGTTTCGAAAAAATTAATTGATACAATGTTGTATTTTGTATTACTTAATGCAATTTTTAACAAAAACTAAAGAATTATATTTGGTACTTTTATTGTTTAGCAGTAACTTTCGTTACATTTCAGGGGGAGGACGCCGACGAAACTTACTGCAAAATCCAGATTTGTTCCAAGGAGACATTGCAGGTATTGAAGACATAAATGTAAGAAACTTTCTATTTTAAATATTTGAAAAACATTTTTTTGCTCTATAGGATCTGCTATGAATACAAAATAAGACTTTTATCATTTAATTTATCCCATAATCTTATATTATAAAATTAATAATGCACAATATAATTATAATAAATCGTACACATGTCTTAATTTACTGTCATAATTATGTAATTAAGTAATATACATAATGGATCAATTTTGTAATATTATAATAGAAATATTGTCTGCATTAAAATAAATTATACTTCTTTGTAAAAATAAATTATATCCTAACTTAAAAATGAACAATTTATAAATTGAAATATACGACATTTATAATATCTGATATATAATTACACATACTATACAATGAGAGCCATTTTATAATATATATCTTGTAATATTTCATGTATAATAACTCATATTACATAATAAGAACCATATTATAATATGGTTCTTATAATATCTGAAAATAATAACAAATTTTAAATAATAAGAACCATATTATAGTATGTTTATTGGTAAACCTCGTTAAGCAGCAATATATTACAAAAAATCAACTTTTTCATAATAGGAGAATTTTATTTTTTAGAAAATAATTGCTTGCGGAATTTATAAATTGTCAAAATAATTAACGCATTAATTTACAAGTGTTTGCGAGTTTTTAAGGAACAAATGAACTGAATTAATTTTGAGGTGCGCCCAGT